GTTTTGGGGTGGACATGAGGGAGTTTGAGGTGGCTACAAGGGGGTTTGAGTGGCTATGAGGGGCTTTGGGGTGGCTATGAGGGGTTTTGGGGTGGCTATGAGAGGTTTTTAACCAAGGCCGAGGGTTTTTAGAGAGGGATAAGAGATTTCAGGGAGGGGAACCGAGCTGAGGGGATTTTTTTTGGGAGGAATTTGCCACCCCGTCCCCCTCACCTTGATCCAAAACTCCTCGTAGAGGGCGCAGGCGATGACGCAGCGCTCGAAGAGGACGATGGTTCGCTCGTGGGAGCCGGCGGCCATTTCGAAGTCCAGGTATTCCCGCCAATTCCTCAGCTGGGCCCTCTCCAGCGGCTTCACATGGAAATACGGCCGCTTAATCTGCCCCGAAAAAACCCCCCCCCCAAAAAATCACCTCAGCGGGGTGCAAAACCAACCCGTGAGCGGTTTTTAAAGGGTTTTACAGCGATTTGGGCCTTACTCCGTCCTCAAAATTCCACCGCTTGCTGACTTCGGCCTCGTTCTGCGCGTAGATTTGCTGGCGCATGGAGATCACCAACTCCCGGATCTTTTCCTGGTCTAAATCCTCCTAAAAAATACGCGACCCAGGTAAGAAAAAACCACGGGGGGGGGTTGCTAAAGAGCCTAAATTTTACAATTTTACGGGTTTTTTTGCAGTTTTGGGGAATTTTTACCTCAGGATCTTTCGCCGATGCTTTTCCCTCCACTCCTGGGGGAAGATCCTCGCCCGGCGGCGCCTCCGTCCCCTCGGGCTCCGGGGGTTTTGGGACGGGGTCGGTGGCCAATTTGGATTGAACCCAAAGCAGCTCCTCCGGGGATAAAATATCCTTGGGGTGGTTGTGCAGGACGTGCTCCTTGAACCTGGGGGGGTAAAAACCCGTGCGGTTTGGGCCCAAAACGGTGAAAATTTGACTTTTTTAGGGCTTTTTTTACCCCCTCTGCTATTTTTTGTGGGGTTTTTTACCCCCACAGGGGGTTTTATGGGGATGTTTTGCGTCTTCTGTGCCCAAAAAGGAGTAATTTGGGGTGAAAAGTGGCTCCTCCGCAGCAAAATTTGGGGTTTTGGGGCGGGATGTGTCAGTTTAGCGCCAAAAAACAGCAGTTTTGGGGTCAAATAGGGCGTCTTGGTCTCAAAAATTGAGCGTTTTGGGGTGAAATAAGTCATTTTAGCCAAAAAAAAGCAGGATTTTAGGGCAAAATGGGGCACTTTGGGCTGAAATCATTCACCCGAGCCCAAAAAATGGAGCATTTTGAGGTGAAATGCATCATCTCAGCCCAAAAATTGAGCTTTTTTGGGTGAAGTAAGACATTTTAGCCACAGAAAAAGAGGATTTGGGGGCAAAAAGTGGCATTTCAGCTCCAAAACGGAGCATTTTTGGATGAAAACTGAACATTTTGGGGCAATGTGTGTCGTTTCAGCCAAAGAAAATGAGGATTTTAGGGCAAAATGGAGCATTTTGGGGTGAAATAAGTAATGTCAGCCACTAAAAAAGACCATTTTGAGGTGAAATGCATCGTCTCAGCCCTAAAATGGGGCATTTTGGGATGAAAAATGGGTATTTTTGGTTGAAATAAGTAACCTCAGCCAAAGAAAAATCACATTTTAGGGCAAAACAGACCACTTTGGGATGAAATAATTCACCTGAGCCCAAAAAATTGAGCACTTTGGGGTGAAAAAAGTAATTTTAGCCAAAAAATGGAGCATTTTGGTGTAAATTGAGCCATTTCAGCGAAAGAAAATAAGCATTTTAAGACAAAATAGACCATTCTGGGCTGAAATACGCAATCTCAGCCCCAAGAATCTCTTTTTTGGGTGGCATTTTGGGGCACCAGGGATATTTTTGGGCACCGTGGGGGCATTTTTGGGCACCATGGAGACATTTCTGGGCACCAGGGATGCGTTTTCAGGCACCATGGGGGCATTTTTGGGGCACCAGGGATATTTTTGGGCACCAGGAGAGCATTTTTGGGCACCATGGGGGTGTTTTTGGGCACCATGAGGGCGTTTTTGGGCACCACGGAGGCATTTTTGGGCCCCGTGGGGCCTTTTTGGAACACCAGGGATGTTTTAGGGCACCATGGTGGTGTCTGTGGGTGCCAGGGGGGCATTTTTGGGGCACAAGGGATATTTTTGGGCACCATGGAGACATTTTTGGGCACCAGGGATGCGTTTTTGGGCACCGTGGGGGCATTTTTGGGGCACTGGGGATATTTTTGGGCACCACGAGGGCGTTTTTGGGCCCCGTGGGGGCGTTTCTGAGACACCAGGGATGTTTTAGGGCACCATGGGGGTGTCTGTGGGTGCCAGGGGGGCATTTTTGGGCACCGTGGGGGCATTTTTGGGGCACTGGGGATATTTTTGGGCACCACGAGGGCGTTTTTGGGCCCCGTGGGGGCGTTTCTGAGACACCAGGGATGTTTTAGGGCACCATGGGGGTGTCTGTGGGTGCCAGGGGGGCATTTTTGGGCACCGTGGGGGCATTTTTGGGGCACCAGGGATGCGTTTTTGGGCACCACGAGGGCGTTTTTGGGCACCATGAGGGCGTTTTTGGGTGCTGGGGGGCATTTCTGGGCACCATGGAGACATTTCTGGGCACCAGGGATGAGTGGTGGTTGTAGAGCTGCGTGGGCATGGAGAGGACGCGGTCGTAGATGCCGGTGACGGCGCGGAGGTCCCCGTGCTCCCGTTCCCACTCCACGTAGAGCTCCCACAGTTTATCCGAGCGGAAATCCATCCCGGCAGCCGCCACCGCCGCCTCGAAAACGCTGCCAAAAACACCCCCCGAAACAAAAATCAGACTCGGGGTGAGCCCCCATGGTGGGAAACGGCGATTTCGGGGTCCTTACCCTCGGATTTTTTGGGTGGATTCGGGTAAATTCATGTCCAGCGTGGATTGGAGGTAGGAGATGTAGTGGATCCACAGGTCCATGCTGAGGGGGATGGATTGCAGCCCCCGCTCGAAAACCTGCGGGAAAATACAGCGGAAATATCAGCGTTTGGACCAAATTTTACCTCGAGGGGTTGGGGGACACTGGCTTGGGGTGGAAAAAGGCCCCAAACGGACTCAAAATGGCCCAAAATGGCCCCAAAATGGACCCAAAATGACCCAAGATGGACCCAAAATGGCCCTAAATGGACCCAAAATGGCTCAGAATGGCCCAAAACAGACCCCAAATGACCCAAAATGGACCTAAAATGGACCAAAATGGCCCCAAACGGCCCAAAGTGGACCCAAAAGGGACCCAAAAGGGCACATAACAGACCCAAAATGGACCCGAAATGGCCCCAAAATGACCCCAAACGGCCCAAAATGGCCCAAAATGGCCCCAAACGGACCCAAAACAGCCCAAAATGGACCCAAAACGGCCCAAAATGGACCCAAAACGGCCCAAAATGGACCCAAAATGGACCAAAACGGACCCAAAATGGACCAAAACGGACCCAAAATGGACCAAAATGGACTCAAAATGACCCAAAATGGACCAAAATGGACCCAAAATGGCCCAAAACGGACCCAAAATGGCCCAAAATGGACTCAAAATGACCCAAAATGGACCAAAATGGACCCAAAATGACCCAAAATGGACCCAAAATGGACCAAAACGGACCCAAAATGGCCCAAAATGGCCCCAAAATGGGTCCAAAATGGTCCCAAAATGGCCCAAAAGGGACCCAAAATGACCCAAAATGGCCCCAAAATGGGCCCAAAATGGCCCCAAACGGACCCAAAAGGGACCCAAAACGGCCCAAAATGGACCCAAAAAGGACCCAAAAGGGCACATAATGGACCCAAAACGAACACAAAAGGACCCAAAATGGCCCAAAACGGACCCAAAACGGTCCAAAATGGACCCAAAATGACCCAAAATAGATCCAAAATGGACCCAAAATGGCTCAAAAGGGACCCAAAATGACCCAAAACAGACCTAAAATGGCCCAAAATGGATCCAAAATGGCCCGAAATGGGCCCAAAATGGCCCAAAACAGACCCAAAATGGCCCAATATGGCCCAAAAGGGATCCAAAATGGCCCAGGGATCCTCCAAATAGCCCCATTTGTCACCCAAACTGGGTTAAACTGGGAGGGGAGCCCCAAACCAGTATAAACCAGTATAAACCAGTACAAACCAGTATAAACTAGTCCAAACCAGTACCGCCTCAGCCTTATGAGCACAATTGAAGGGTGCTCAATGAGCCAAAACCAGCCCAGGGACCCCCCAAATGGCCCCATTTGTCGCCCAAACTGGGTCAAACTGGGAGGAGAGCCCCAAACCAGTATAAACCAGTATAAACCAGTACCTCCTTGGCCTGGTGAGCGCACTTTAAGCACTGCTTAGTGCCCTAAAACCAGCACAGGGACCCCCCACATGGCCTCATTTGTTGCCCAAACTGGGTCAAACTGGGAGGAGAGCCCCAAACCAGTATAAACCAGTATAAACCAGTCCAAACCAGTATAAACCAGTCCAAACCAGTATAAACCAGTATAAACCAGTACAACCCAGTACCTCCTCAGCCTCATTGCTGAAGTCGAATGCTGCTCAATGAGCCAAAACCAGCCCAGGGACCCCCCAAATGGCCCCATTTGTCGCCCAAACTGGGTCAAACTGGGAGAAGAGCCCCAAACCAGTCCAAACCAGTATAAACCAGTATAAACCAGTATAGACCAGTACCTCTTTGGCCTGGCGGGCGCACTCTAAGCACTACTCAATGCCCTAAAACCAGCACAGGGACCCCTCAAATGGCCCCATTTGTTGCCCAAACTGGGTTAAACTGGGAGAAGAGCCCCAAACCAGTCCAAACCAGTATAAACCAGTCCAAACCAGTATAAACCAGTATAAACCAGTATAGACCAGTACCTCCTCGGCCTGGCGGGCGCAGTCGAAGCGCCGCTCCATGTCCGCGTACTTCTTCCAGTAGCCGTAGCAGTAGGGGTAGTGGGCGAAGAAGGCGTCGAAGGCTTTGCGGGCAGCGAAGAGGTGGTTCTGGGGGTAATTAACGGGTAATTAACAGGTAATTAACGGAATATCTATGGGTAATTAACGAAGGGGGAGTGATGGGTTCCGGGTTGGTTTGGGCGTCCTGAGTTAATATCTAATAAAGACCAAATTAGGCTAATTAAGATCTAGTGGAGGCCTAATGAAGGAGGAATTAAGAAGTAATTAAGCTAATTAAGCACTAATTAAGCCAATTAATGTCTAGTAAAGATTTAATTAAGCTAATTAAGGTCTAGTGGAGGTGTAATTAAACTAATCAAGGTCTACTGAAGGTCTAATGAAGGAGTAATTAAGAAGTAATTAAGCTAATTAAGGACTAATTAAGCTAATTAATGTCTAGTAAAGGTCTAATTAAGCTAATTAAGGCCTAATATACATCTAATTAAGCTAATGAATGTCTAATGGAAATCTAGTCAAAGAGTAATTAAGCCAATTATGGACTAATAAAGGTCTAATTAAGCCAGGAGTAATTAAGGAATAACTAATCTAATTAAGGTCTAATTAAGGAGTAATTAGGCTAATGAAGGTGTAATAAAGCCAATTAAGGTCTAATTAAGGAATAATTAAGCCAATTAAGGTCTGATTAAGAAGTAATTAAGGAGTGATTAAGGAGTAATTAAGCTAATTAAGGACTAATTAAGCCAATTAAGGTCTAAAAAAAGTATAATTAGCCTAATTAAGGTCTAATAAAGGCATATTTAAGCTAATTAAGATCCAATGAATGTATAATTAAGCCAATTAAGGTCTAATTAAGCTAATTAAGGTCTAATGAAACCAATTAAGGCCTAATGAAGGTGTAATGAAGCCAATTAAGGCCTAACGAAGGTCTAATGAAGCCAATTAAGGTCTAATGAAGATCTAATTAAGCCAATTAAGGTCTAATTAAGGCAATTAAGGTCTAATGAAGGTGTAATTAAACTAATTAAGAACCAATTAAGGTCTAATAAAGGTCTAATGAAGCCAATTAAGGGCTAATTAAGCCAATTAAGGTCTTATGAAGGTGTAATGAAGCCAATTAAGGGCTAATAAAGATCTAATTAAGCCAAATAAGGTCTAATGAAGCAAAGTAAGGTCTAATAAAGGTGTAATTAAACTAATTAAGAACCAATTAAGGTCTAATAAAGGTCTAATGAAGCCAATTAAGGTCTACTTAAGCTAATTAAGGTCTAATGAAGGTGTAATTAAACTAATTAAGAACCAATTAAGGTCTAATAAAGGTCTAATGAAGCCAATTAAGGGCTAATTAAGCCAATTAAGGTCTTATGAAGGTGTAATGAAGCCAATTAAGGGCTAATAAAAATCTAATTAAGCCAATTAAGGTCTAATGAAGCCAATTAAGGGCTAATGAAGGTCTTACAAAGGTGTAATGAAGCCAATTAAGGTCTAATGAAGCAAAGTAAGGTCTAATGAAGGTGTAATTAAGCCAATTAAGGTCTAAGGAAGGTCTCATTAAGCCAGTTAAGGTCTAAGGAAGGTGTAATTAAGCCAATTAAGGGCTAATTATGTCAATTAAGGTCTAAGGACGGTGTAATTAAGCCAATTAAGGCCTAAGGAAGGTGTAAGGAGGCCAATTAAGGGCTAATGAAGCGGGTTCGTTACCTCCTGCTCAACGAAGCCGAGCAGCTCGGTCCAGGCGCCGAAGTCGTGGGGGTTGCCCTGTGCCCCCAGCCAGAGCCGCTCGAACTCGGGGGGCAGGGGGGGCT